CTATCTGTGTAGCAAACGAGTATGTGTTTTTTATTCAAAGTCTTCTTAAATTATAAAGTCTTCGGTATTAGTCTGTTGTCTTTTATAAATCATTTTTCTTTTGTAATGAATGCTCTATATAGCAATAACAATCTTGGACCACTTAAGAAACTAATATTCAAAAAAAAACCTTTCAATCTGAAACTTTTCTCTTTCAAAAATAACGACATGTTGTATTTATTCTCAATCAAAAACATGTAGAGTACATAAGTTTTGTAAAATATGTTTCAAGAATATAGATCATTAAGAAAAAAAGTTACAAATACAAACATCGATCAACATCTTTTAGAAATTCAATACAAATATCAAATCTAGAATAAGAAAATCAAAAAAAAACAAACATTGAATAAAATATTGTCATTCATTCATTCATCTCATGATCGTCTGTGATGTATTCAATATACCAATGATGTAATAGATGATTGCGATCATATCGATCGTTGACCTCGAGAAATATGAGAGCAGGTAGTCGCCCTTCAAGCCATTCAAGATCATGTTCATCAAATGGATAATCAATTTCAAGTGTTAAAATACTTAACGCGGCGTGTGACCATTCATCTGGCAATACTTTGGCATTGTCGTTTGCATGTACTAAATACCATTCACCAATATGAATTTTCAAAAAGATAAGACTAGGCAAATAAGTAAGTAATATCTCAAAGAATGACACATGACAAAGGCCAATAGTTGCCGAGCGAATTCTGAAACACGGTGTAAAATTATTGAATAATTCATCATTGAAGTCGAACATGGCATTGGATAAATGAATCGATGTGAGCCATGGAAATTTACCATGTAATATTTCACGAAGTATATTTGTATGAGCTTCGTTCATATTAGAAATACTAGTTGTTTTTAGACTGATATGTGAAATATATAACATAGAATGAGAATTTATTGAGTGTACTTGTGATAATATACCATCGAAGAGTGTTAATGAACGAATCGATCGAAATTGATTTAGATCAAGTATTTCATTGCGTTTATAGCAACGTATAAAGATGATACGTTCGCCAAATTTGTCAATAACTTCCTTTGTAGCTAAATCATCTTCGATTCCCACGCCAACTTCTCGAAGACATTGATCAAAACGTGAATTCAAATTATTGAAACTTCGAAGACGTTCGATAGAATGAATGAATTTCAGAATAATGACAAGTAACTCATCTGGAAGTGATTCAAGTACAGTAACATCATGAGATGAACACATATTTGACAGCAACCTGAAAAAGAAAAGAACATTTGACTATTGTCATTCGTTCTAGAACTGATACATAATTTAGGATACACTTGAAATTCATGTAAAAGGTTGAAATCAAAAACATTATTTTTTGAAAAGTTAGAAATCACTCGAGATGTCTACAGTAAACCTAACTTATTCTGTTTCAACTTAAGGCATTCATAGCTATCATGACTTTTATGCTCTTTTATTCTCATTAAATGCGGAATATGATAGAGGTATTTGACAGGGGAAGGAGCAGGATGTATCATACATGAACATCTCAAGTATTAAAGAAGTACGTCATGAATTTCTTTACAACGAGGTTCATCATCATTATCAGCATTGAAACAAAAAAAAATATCAAAAAGAAAAGAAAAAAACAAATTATATACTATTGGAGCAATGTGTTAATCAATAAAAAAAAGTATTTTGCCTCTATATATAGTCACTCTTTCAAAAGAAAATATAAAGATACTGTACAAAATAACACATTCATTTGTAATACACATAACGTAAATAAACTTTCTATCCGGTTATCTCTTGTGAATGATGCGTAGAACATAAGAGATAAAGAGAGAGAGAGAACGAACAAATACTGCATCGTAAGGATTAACGACTAGGCATATTGCTGCTAAAGTATTAAAGCGAATGAAAGGATAAAAGTAGTTATGGGAATATAGAATTAAAGTGGAAAGAAAACAAAGCAGTCAGCTGAAAATACAAGATAAAGCTCGAATGAAAAGGCAGATACAAACAATTAAGGCATGTATATGACGATCTATGCACCACATATCTGAAACAATTCTGTTATATTGAAGTATTGATACTTGATGTTTTTTTTTCCATAGAAGTTAAAACTCATCCGATAAATATAATAGCAAGATTTTTACGACAGCTCAACATTTTATCTATGAGTATGTCAAAAAGAAAATTTTCTTTTGAAATATTACAATATTCTAATTCAAGCACAAGAAGCAGTTTATCTATGCTGCTAGTTCTCAATTTAGAACGGTTCGTATTCCAACCAAATAGGCTTATAGATGTAAATGATTTTAAGGGTTTCTCTAGCCTCACCAAGCTCTACTTTATGGCCAAAATATGAGTCTAAAAACTTTTACACAGTTAACGGAATTCCCTCGTTAATAATTTTCGATCGAAATTTAATAATACATTTAGTTTGTATTTGCTAACTTCTTAGTGAATGTTTTCTTATACAAAAAAATTCATTTTTCTATTGTTAATTGAACAATGTTCTAAGACATAGAAAATTTCAAAGAATAATGTTTTAATATTTATAGAGTTCAAAGCGTAAATTTGTTTGATTTATGAAAATGGAAACATAATTTTGGAAAATATGTTTCGATTAAGTCAATATTTTTCCAACATATTATCTCATGAAGTTGCTCTAATCTATGCTCAATAGAACGAATTTGATAGGACACGATTATATTAATCTGTACTATTTCCAATCAATATAAATATGCATAAAGTATCACCATTGAATAGGAATAAATTGTTTGTAAATATAATTCATTTAATTAGCTTCTATTATGAAGAAGAAAACTTTGTTTATGGTCAACGCACAATTTCGAGTCAAGTCTAGGACAATTCTATAAATGATCGACCTTGGTTCATCACTTGTTTCAAATCATGTTCAGTCATCGAGTTAAGATATTTTCTCGCTTTAAAAAGTACCCATCCGCCAACTTTTGATAAATATTAACTGATGTCAGAAAATTTTTGTAACATTTAGTATTTGACATAAATCTTCTCTTGAGATAATGATAAGATCTTTAAATTTTCATATTCAAAACGAAAAAAAAAATACATGAGTGCTACTGCTCATTGTATTGACCATAATAAAAAAAATAGTTGGAAGAGAGTAGTGTCACATATCCAAGATTTTGGAGATGCCACCACATCTCCCGTGGAAGATGCCGCGTCTCCAGCGGGAGACGCGACACCCACACTTGAGAGATATGGTCATTCACCACTGGAGATGTAAGATCTCCTTTAGAGATGCGCATCCCCCACGCCCACACCCGCGTCTCTCGCGCGAGATGCGGCATCTCCCGCGGAAGACGTGGTGGCATCTCCAAAATCTTGGATATGTGACACTGCTGGTCAAAATTCTTCACTTACGAATTGGTTGCTTAAGTTCAAGTTTTGACCTTCGAGAAAATTTATCAAAACATCTTCATTCTTAATCTTTTGAAATCAAATTTGTTTGAACAAACCTTGATGAACCAATGAAAACTCAGTTCAATCTATTCTACACTTTTCATTCAGAAGAAAGAGATCATAATAGAGTTTTACAATTGATCTGCAATGTATCTTTCATTTCATTTAAAACATTTTTACAAAAATACATTCAAAAGATTAAGCTATTCTAAAAACAAACATCATAAGCTACATGAGAAGAAAAAAGACCAAATCAAGAAAATGTGTAGGTGTGCACTGTTGGACAATTATGTTATTCCGACAAGCGAGTTTATTATTGGCGAATGTGTGATAAGTGAATAGTTTAAAATAAGATTCTATTCAAATATTTTGTTCATTTGAAGCGAAGATTTTAAGTTAATTTTAGGATCATAGAACACATGTTCAAAAACTTTCCTGATTTACATATCTATCAATAGTCATCCTTATTCTTCTTGTTTCTTTATAGAAAGCGTCGAATCAACTCTCATTATCATTCGTTGAACTTAGGTGAGAAAATTTCATGCGAAGTTAATCGTCAATAGATCAAGTTGCAGCGAATCTTTCTGTGCTGCCTTAGGTGTAGAATGAATGTGGGTGTGAGTATGGATTTACAGAGGATCCACATCCACAACCTCTATTGCAAATTAAGTCACTTCTTTTTTTTCAGTGACTGAAGAATAGATATGATTTTTTTCATATTGTTACTATTCATCATAAACTCATTTGATCTATATTCTGTTTTTTATTTGCATAAAATATCTATTATAAAATAGTCTCTTGATCTTTGATATATTTGACTGATTGTTCTTATCACATATAGACAAACGAAAAATCCAATAGAATATATTTTCAAAACATTTTAGTTACAAGTAGGCCTATATATATATGAGCAAATCATTATCATTCGATTCTTCTGTACATATCATTTTACAGACTAAAATTTCAGTAAAACAACTATTACTTTGTAGAGAAGTCCTAGGGATTCTTATCTTTCTGGGATTTTTACTAACTCATTGGGATCTACCTTATGTACAACATTTTCACTTGAACACATGAATTTTTCAATATTCTAGACTACTTTCAAAGAGATCAAAAGTGAACAAATATTTTGTTCAGAAAATTTCTCACAAGTCGTTATTTACATTTATGACACTCGTTAATTAATCATCAAAAATAATGCTTTCAATCAATCATCATTTTATTTCATGCTTTATTATATTGAAAGAAAAAACTTTTTATGTTGATACTGGACGATTTATCATTTCTTGAATCCAACCAATATAAGCTGATGTCTTAGTAAACACAGTTGGAAATGCGTTTTGTCCACATCCATTAGCATAACTAACTACACCAGCAATATGCCAACGTTCATCTTTCAAATAAAACAAACCACCACCACTATCACCTTGACAAGATCTAAATAATACAATAAAATTATTAAAAAAATATTGAATGAATACAAACCCATGATCTATATCAACAGGACCATTAGAAGCAGCACAAATTTGTTTTTCAGGCTCGTAAGCAAAATACATCGAACAATTGGTAATGACACGAAGTCGAGCTTGACGAAGAACTGAACTTGAACTATCCCACATTTGAAATATAGTATTACCCCAACCAGCAACATAAGCAGTCGTACCAAGGGATGGTTCAACAATCTAAATATATAAAGTTTTTATTTTTATAATCAAGTTTTTTTCTTCTGTTACAAACATTATCTACAAGACAAATTGGCTGAACAGTTTCTGTAAATTTAATCGGTCTGGCTAATCTAACAATTCCAATATCATTGGTTGAACGATATTCATCATATTTGGGATGTAAAATAAGTTGTGCAATAGGTATCAGTTCACCAGATGAATTTCGTTCATGAGCACCAACACGAGCAAAATAATTACCAAGATCATTGGAATAATCCAGACAATGTGCTGCTGTTAAAATATTCAATTCGTCGATAATCGCTCCACCACAATCATGAACACCTTTATATTGTAATGAAACAGCCCAAGGAAATGAATGAGGATTAGCTATAATACCATTAACTATACGAACAGATGCATGTAAATGAGGTTGTCGAAATGTTTGGCCACATTGTTTAATTGAACTCTGATCTGTAGATGGACAACAGAAACTAACTTGATAATTAGGACAAGGTGATGCCCGTGAACCCATACAAAATAGACCATTATGATTAATTAATGTTTGATAAGATCCGGATGCATTATTTGGTTTTGTTAATACAGAATATTTAACATTTGAAACAGTTTTACATCGATCTGCTTCTTTATATAATGCCCGAATGTGTGTCAAATCTTCACGATCATTTCCATTATGTATCGTTGGGTCTTGTACATTAAACCACGAAGTCCATGATGATGGTGTATCACATTTATCATTAGTAAATATTGAAAGTTCTTGTCCTCCAAATACGTTCGAGAATAATAAAAGAATACAACTGATGATTGGAACCAATGTCAACATTTTAGTTATTTTTCAAAAGCAACTTTACGTATAAAAAAAACCTCGGCTTTTATAGAACATTGTCATAGATGTACTCGACTTTGCTTTCTCTTCTGTTGTTTTTGTAAAGCCATATTAAAATCGGAAGGTTGTTCTAATGCAAACACCAACGAAATACGATGCCAATAACAATATAATCGTCCCAGTCAGGGACAAGAAAAAAAAAAGTTGAGATTAGACACATCAAATCAAAAGCTAAAATACTGATATTGCGATGTTGTTTTCTTTTTCAAAAAGAAAGAGGAGCTATGAAACTATTAATTGGGTCCAGTATCACATGTAAAAACATGAAGAGAATACATTGGATGAAAGCACTCTTCATACATATCGAAATTTTCAGAGAAACAACCAAGGAATATATATGTATGTAAGAATCCTTTAGTCATATCATCTCCTTTAGGTATGATCTTATCTGAAGAACATCAATATTTCGAACGCAATAGAATATATCTAACTAGGCTCCACGCCAGCGAGGGGCTGTAGGAGAGTGTACACCCCTCCTACAATAATTAAAGTTTTCAGTTTTTTCCGCCACAAGAGCCAATTTCAACCTAAATTCTACGATTTTTTTGTAAGTTTTTCCTGAAAACACTTCTTTACACCTCCCTAATAATAGGTCCTTCGCGCGGGCACTGTATCTAACTATGTTGTATGCTTGTCGGTTCGTCCTACCACTCATATATCGAAATATATATATAAAAGGAATCGATGGTAGCAGCTAAGACTTTCGGTTCCAGCAATAAACTATTGCAGAGAATATCTTCTACCAGAATTCGAATAATTTATTAGAAAGACCTCAAAATTAACCGAGAATAAAACAGTTTCAGAATAAGTATTTTTACTAATATAAATTTGCCTAGCGCTGTTTATTATAAAAGTTTATTCCACAACTGGCGCCGCTTTGGATTCTCTGATTACTACAGACAGTTCCAACACATCAATATTATCAGAGGAAATCGAAATCGGCTCGATTCTGTCAGTTTTTAAGTGACTTCACAAATATTCATTCGCTTTGTTACAATACACTATGATGAAATACTTTTAAAAAAGTTGTCGATATAGCACACAATAAACCGACGGTAGGTATCACATGGGTATATAAATCATCGACAAACATTTTTAAAAGAAAACTTCTTTTTTTATTGATTTATGTATCATTCATTGTTTTCGAAATCTATATTAGAATATCAAAATAGAACCTTATTTTTTTTGTGCTTTCAGCGATGCAAGAGATACAATTAGCCAAAAGTACTTAGTTAATTTGCCTGTATCTATAGATCGGCATAGGCGGCGCATCAACAAAGCAATAGGGTGCAATTACTTTCCCCGATATATTTCTATTATGATAGTTAATATGCAATGATTGATATATGGTGTTAGAAATTCGTTTGATTCTCTTTGTATGACTATACTTTTGGCACGTATATCTGATATTGATCTTTATAATGGAAACTGAAGGCCGGTAAATTAATATTATGTGATTGGAGAAACAGTAAAGATCACTCTTCTTGTCTTGTTTCATCCACGATGGAAAGAAAGCCTCCATCAACGTTTTCTATTATATCTTCTTTCTTGGTCTTTTACAAATTTTGTAATTAGTTTTTAATTTGTTAGCTAAACAGCTGAAAAAAAGGTGAAATTCCTCATTATATCACAAAAGAATCCAGGAGCTTCATTAAAAGAAAATTGTAGTACATGTAAACAGTATCACTATTATGAATACAAATGAAACAATTCTATTAAGTGAAACTGCTAATGCAACATCAGTGTCACCATGTTGAGAGTGTCAATACAGTTGTTAATTTTCTCTGCACCCATCCTCTCTAATATTCTGAGAGATCAAGAGAGACTCTCTAGAATTTTTTTGAAAATAAATGAATTGATTAATGTAAAACTTAAACTGAAATATTTCTTATAATTACCTGTTGAAAGCAAAGCAATTATTTTGTTCCTAGAAAGTTTATTTTGCATCACCTATGTCGCTGTATCTGTAACCGTGTTTAGTCATAGGAATGATTAACAAATGAATAATAATTGACGAATCCTCTCGATTTTGATTCATGATTAGAAACAAAAAAAAAATCTTTAGACATACTCTTTCTATAAATTGACTTCAATGCACTCAGTAACACATTACATATGAAATAATCATCTATGTTAAAGACTCAAGTAGAGAATGATTATTGTTAAATATACATGTTGAGTAAGTCAACAAAAACAATATCATAAATATTAATTATGATTATGTTTTTGCAATAAATTTTCCTAGTCATAATACAACATATAAAACTATGATAAGAAATAAACAAAAAAAAATCCAGGTCCTTTTTTTTTGTTTTTGATTTCTTAGATTTTTACAAATAATGTAAAAGAAAATAGAAATTCAAAGATAAAATACAACAATTTTACTTGATGTTCTCTAATAATTTTTTTATTTCTAGTTTTTAACAAATTTTTTTTTGAGTATTTGACAAAAACGAAATTTGAATAAGTGCATAGAAAAATATGATATAAAAAAAAAAGGTTAAATATATTACATATATTTTTCAGCGTAATTTTTCCATCATTCGTTTAGTATTCAAAAAACAAGGATATTATTTTTAAATATTTTTCGCTTGATTTTGGGAAAAATGAATTTAATATTTTTAATTAGATAAGAATTTCGCGAATGCATATACTGTGACACAAAAAGAAAACATGATAAAAATTACCATACTATGTAATATTTTCACAATAAAAAGCATAAAATACTGTGTCCCTTTCGTCGTTTGATAAAATGACTATGATTCATTTTTTAATTGTATACAGCCTAGTATAGTGCTGGTTTATATCTATATATGATCTGTTTATTTTTTCTTTCTTTCTAATCTCTCTTATGTATGTTAGTTGAGTCAAGATTTTGTTTTTTTCTTCTGTTTTTTGTATGACGTCACTCCAAGTGACATGGAAATAACTATATACAAAACTTTTTTGTTTCCCTATTGAAAATGAGTCATTTTTCTTATTTCAAAATTTCTTGTTTTATTTCTTAAGTTGTTTTAGTCACACTTTATAACTTATATGGAAGCACGACGTGTAATGAAAACCGTTTTTTCGTTGTTAAAAATCGACGTAACATCTTCGACGTATGAATATGAGTCATCAATTGTGCTTCTAAAATTAATATAAGAAAATCGAGAAAAAAACAGAACGAACAAAAGAAAACATAGGTGACTGTAGTTTGTCTGTCATTGTGCTGAGTCATTGCAATAGTACAGCAAACGGCTAGTGAGGTAATATTACATAAATGAAACAACATATATTCATTATTTTGACGTATATAAAAGTTCGATTTCGGAATTTTTCATCAATAATTTATTTCTAACGGGCAAAGGTCAACTATATTCATAGAATCTAACGATCAGTTATTTCTTTTTTTTTCTTTTTCTATATTTTAGATCACTCTTCTTTTTTTTTTTTCTTTCCTATTCGTTCATGGCAGCATGCGCGATTGAAGAGACATCACGGGCAACATCCATCTATTGTCAGACAACAAATACAATGGAGCGAACACCGCCATCATCATCATCATCATCATCATTAGAAACAAATACTAGAACAACGACAAATCCTGAACATCATCGATGTTCGTTTAATTTTCATACAAATAATATTTCAACTGATTCAACATTAACAAGAAAACAAGAATCGACTAGAAAAAGACAATTGAGTCAAACTGATTCGTGTAATAAAATTTGTACTACAACAAGAATAGTAACAGATAATAATTGTCGATTACAAACTAATCCAACAAATAAAATTGATGAAAGTAAGAGCAGAAACAATATTAGTTCTTTTTTTTTGTTTGAAAATGATTTTATATATTTTATTTTTCTTATTTTTCTAAAGATTTAATTATTATCAATTTATTTTGTTTTTCTTTTTTTTGAAGGTCCAATAACTCCAACTCGACCAAAATCTTTATTTCTAACAAACAGTACAACTAGTCGTCAATATTCATCATTACGTACATGTCTTAGTAATCCATCGGCATCACCTAGTACTTTGCTTCCGACTGAAGATAATTTACTTTCACCATTAAAATTTACATCCTTACCAGAACTTTCTTCTCCACCAACTAAACGCCTTCGTCCACAAACATTAAGTTTTGCACCCATATGTCCTTCTGTTATCACAAGTCCAGTAAAATCCATTCTACCATCATCCTCATCAGCATCATTACCAGTTGATTTTATTAGTCCAACTGAATTAGCTGATAAATTAAAAGAAAAAAATCCACTAACAATTTTTGATTGTGGTTCACCATTACGTCATAGTGAACATCGTATACGTAATTCAATTCTTCTTCGTGTTGCTGATAAAATTTCTCGTAAACGTTTGAAAACAAATCCAAAACAACATTCAACAATTGATATAAAACAATTAAATGATAGTCAATGTATTATTTTATATGATGATACAACAAATGTTCGTCGTCATTGTACAAATTCATCAACTGTAAATAATGATAATCAATTATCATTAGCATTTAAATGTGCATGTGAAGAAATTCAACGTTGTTTGACAAATAATATTCCTTCAATACTTATTCTTAATAGTCCATTTAATAAATTTTTTGATTTATATCCACAACTTTGTGAATCTTTACAACCTCGTTCATGTCCATCATCACCAACAAATCATACTGATGAATCACTACCACCACTGACAGCTCCGCCCATACAAAATTCATTCTTACTAACAACAACAACAACAACAACACCAAATCAAAATGACATTGACAATCATCCAATGACACATATTATCGATGGTTTATACATTGGTAGTGAATCAAATGCAAAAAATCTTGAAGAATTATCGTCTGAACAAATTCGATGTATAGTTAATGTCACATCACATGTACCTTTATATCATTCTGAACAATTTCAATATTGCCATTTACCTGCTGATGATACACAAAGACAAAATCTATTAGAATATTTTGATACAGCTTATTCATTTATTCATAATGCTATAGAAAATAATGAAAAAGTTCTTGTTCATTGTGTTGCTGGTATAAGTCGTTCACCAGCAATTGTGATTGGATTTTTAATGCGTTATGCTAAAATGAATATGAATGATGCATATGATTTTGTAAAAAGAAAACGTTCCATTGTTGCACCTAATCTTAATTTTATGGGACAATTACTTGAATATGAAAAAAAATTAAAACAAGAAAAATGACTTCTTTTTTTTTTTTTTTTTTTGTATTATTATTAATATTGTGAATGTATTTATTGTTAAAACTTTGTTGTTTTTTTTCTACTTGTTATAAATTTAGTTGAGCAAGAAAATTTTCATATGGATTTCGATGATTTATATTAAGAAAGTCATACTTTTAAGTGTGATGAGTAAGCAAAGATCTGATGTAACAATTTTCCACGTAATTTCAATTACTCATCGTATGATAGATTATGTAATATAATGAAAGAGTCTGATGATTCGTCAATATGATAAAACAACTGGCTCAGTTTACATTCAGCATTTCATATATCGATTACATCATGTATTGTAATGTGTTGAAGAGGAAATATTTCGAAGAGACAGCTGAATGGTATCAACAAATGGAAACGTTAATTGAGATCGATAAGTGAACAGGAAAAAGAACTATGCATGATTTCTTGAATGATGAAAGAGAATATAGAAGAATAGATTGAATATAAATAATTGATATATGATGCATATTGATAATAAAAGAGAAAGCTTCAACAGTCAATGGATCATATTTCGCAGTCGATGAAACTACTAGAAACATGTTTTTATGAAATAAAATGTTCACTGAGAAGATTTTTCATCTTAAATTTCTTTTTATTTTAATAGATTTTAAATATTAACATATAAATAATATAGATTGTTATTTGAACTGATTTGATAATATGATATTCTTTGTAAAAAATCTACAAATGACTCACTTCTAATAAGTAGATAATTAGTAAACGAAAGCTATAAAAATAGTAATGAGAGAATTTTTTTCTTTTATAGAAACACTCATTAAAATCAATAGCTTTTCACTATTTTATAAAAATATAAGTCTTATTGAGTAGTCAATATTCATAGACAATGATTCATATACAATAGTTTAATTGTTTTTAGTTCAATAGTCAAGGAAATGTTGCCGGAAACATCTATACTTATTAAAAGTATAATACACAAATTGCATTGTATATGATAAAAGCATTTCATAAATATATGACCTCATGTTGTTGAATATTTTTATTAATCTTACTAAAAGCCATTGTTCGATGTGTTCATACAATATATTATTTATTCGATAATTTCTTCACAAATGATCACAAAAATCTATTAACATATTCAGTATTTTCATAGTTAGTCTATGAGAGTGTAAAATAACCTAGATGTTTTTTTTTATTGACAATTAAGTCAAAGTTGGAATAAATATTTATACTCTGACGCTCAATATCGTAGGAAATCAAGCGTTTGTCGTTAATATTATTTGCATAAGTTTGACTATATTATTTAAGGTGTTGTTTTTCATATTCCTCACATCAATATCGGTGTCAAGAGCAATTCTCTTTTCACTCCCCCGTCATGCACCGATTTTTGTTGCAGAATAATATTCTATGATTTCTTTGGAAGTTTTTATTCTGAAGGTTATGAAGAGTTAGAGTGATGTATTGGAAAAGAATTCATTTTTTCAAGTATCAACCAGAAAATACAAAATATGACTCTGTTAAATTGTAGTGTGTGATAGTCGTTGTATTAAAGCTTTTTCGAGTTGTGGAATATTTAAAACGTTCAACGATTCTTTGACAAAAGAACAAATACAAAGAGGAAATTCTGTGTAAAGAAAAATACCAAGCAAGTTTCATATTAGAAAATGAAGCGTTTCTTCGTTAGGGACTTGAATGAGAGGTGGATTGCGGACAACATACGCTTCAACAGCAACATTCTATGGAATACGCTCTGTCAAGTTTCTCCATGAATGAAAAACTATTGTAGAGTTCAAAGAATACTGATACATGGAATTTTATAAGAAACCATTTTTTCTAATTTCGATAACTTTAGTGAAATCTCTACAAAACCACGAAGGCTTATCGTAAATCCTATAAGCCTTAGTGTTTTTGAAAGTAGATATTGTGGGCTATCTAATTATGGAAAAATCTCAAAATCGACTTTTTCAACGCAAATCACGTTTTCTAAAAGTCGACTTTTCTCTTTCATATGAACTGGTGTACAAAAATATGTTGATCTGAATAAATAATTGAAAGATTTTTCACCACTCATATTCAACAAATAAATCTACACAAATTTCCATTATGTATAATATGAATCAGAAACAGCTGCAAAATATTCCATTACAAAAAAATTAATATTTTTTTTTTTTTATCAATCAATATTTTTATTTTACTTATAATATCATTTTTCAGTCAATCTTCATCAAGCTCAGATTAAATAACAGAAAAAAAAATTCTACAGATAATGAGCTCAGTCCAACATAAGATCTTCTTCATTTTTTCTTTCATACAATTGAAACAGGAAAACAAAACACAAGAAGAAAAAAAAACATCAGACCTAGGTCTATGAATAATTTACACATGCAATTTATTTATCTGCTTTCATTTTTTAAAACTAATACTTGACCAGCATGTGTTATATTAACAGCAACAGAATCTGGTAAATAAAATGGTTCACCATCCATTTGTGCTGTCATTGGACAACATATTTCAATACGTAAAGTTCCACATTGTGCAATACGTATACCACGAAAACCCATATGTATAGTAGCCATATGTGTTGTACTTAAACCAACAACTTCAATTTTTTTATCATCAATATCTGGTCGATCAAAACGTCCAATTGGATTTGGTATTGTTGTTATTGTTGGTAAATTAGTTTGATCATTTGGACAATCATTTAATGTTACAAGTTCATATACTTCATGTGTATTTGCTGGTAAATCAATAATTTCAACTGAACTTGTTGAAATTTCTTGAAATGAATCATAATCTTTTTGTATAATAATTGTTTGTGATGATGTTGTTGAATTATTTGATGTTTTACCCCATGGATTTGTACCTGATGCATATCCAGGTATATTTAATACAAGTAATGTATGACAATTTCGTATTGAATCTGTTAAATCTTCTCCATCACATATTAAACGTATATATGAACTTAAATTCCACATTTTTGAACGTGCAAAATCATTTAAATATTTTCGACTTTCATTTAAATACATTAATTTATTTTTTAATGGCGAGGAAAATTTATTTGGATCACGTTTACGTCTATCATGAAATTCTAATGCTATAGCTGCATCTAAACCAAAACTCATATAATTAATAAAACGTGTATTTGGTAATGTACGATTATTTTGATATGATGCACGATTTCTATCACGAACAAATTTTGGATGATTTATTAAAGATAAAAATGTTCGATTTGTTAATAAATCATCTTTTTTTGTTATATTGACTTGTTCAAGTGTCACTTGCCAACGATCAAGTGCTATCGATTGCGCATGTGGAATTTGTGTTAATATTGATATTAAACGTTTTGGGTCATATTGTTCACCCCATAATAAAATTCGTGATAAATCATTACCAGTACCCAATGGACATATGCTTACAGGTGGATTATTTAATGGTGGATATAATTCAGCTAAACAACCAAGTATCCAACCGACTGTACCATCACCACCAAATACGCATATTCGAATATTTGATAATGATGAATAAATTTCTAATGCATGAAGAATAGTTGCATCACTTTCAAGTAAGAAAACTTGACGTGGATTCAGAAGATGTAATAATTTACGATAGATTTTTTCACCACTTTGACCACCCGAACGTTTATTTATAAAAAGAAGTAATGGCGTATAATGATCAATAGAGGTTGAAGAATCATTTGCAGTATGAAAACGATATTGAGCACGAAAATGTGGTGAAGGACCTGATATACGACGTAACCATTGTGGTCGAACAATTATATTTCTAAATGAAATAATAATAATAATAATAATAACAATCAATAGAATATTTCAAATGTTTAAATTCTATCACAATATAAATACAATAATAACAACAAAAAACAGCAGAGTTAGAGCCGTTCTATTCTGTCATCAATGAAATTAGCTTCGTTAATGTATGCTATTCTTTTGGAGATTCTACTAATAAGGCTTTCTTGCATTAGATTATATGACTATTACATAATAGAATCTACCTCAATATTCCGTAATCACATTTATTGTTTTCATCATGTTTAAACATTTTATCCCAGCACCGTCGATGATAAGTACGTGAGCACCACAAACATTGAAATCCACTTGATATTCCCGATAATTTTGGACTTGAACTATCGGGTAAAGGACTTTTACATGTTGGACTTTTTATCGTTCCATCTAATGATGGCATTGTTGAAGGTCGACCGCTGCCAAATAATGAAGTTGACATTGATTTTCTTTTACATAAAGCACAAGGTTTTGTAAGTATTGATACATGTGACCAATAATGTCGATCAAATTTACTTTGATAATTTATGTCATTAACACTAACACTTTCAGAAAATGATGGTCGACATGGTGGAATAGTATTTGTTGTTATTATTTGTAAATCAACAAGATGATGTGTATGTACAATAAGTAAACATGATTCACATTGAACAAATTCTGATAAATTATAGGATTTAGGATCTTTACAAGAAAAAAGGGCACATGGTTGAGATGTTGAAAGGTCATTTGGTTTATATGGAAACCAACAATGAGATGTTGGACGTGCTCGATCACTCCAATCGATACCATATGTTATAGGAATATTTGTTTCTGATAATGAAGAAGAATTGTGCGATTGTAAAACACTAAAAATGACAATAAAAATTAGATATTTTATATGTTTTTCTTTTTCATAAAATAAAAATTCAATATTCAATAATGATCTTAATTTATTTTTTTTTTTTGTTCATCGTTCAATTTTTTCTTGAAATAAATACAACAATAACAGACATGACATTTTACCTTGTTGAATTTAATACTGGTTCATCAGTAATTGTTTGTTGAAGATCTGGTTCAGGCACAGCAGTCATATAATCCGATGGTGAATTATTAAAAAAAAAGGATGCTTCATCATTATTATTGATTTTAGATTTTAATGCTAATAATTGATCGTATTTATGTTCATATGATGGGCAATATTCTTCAGTTGGTGTTGTTGGTAATGATACAGATTCCGTTCGATCTAATTTTTTATGTTTTGTTTGAATTATATTTTGATCAGAATTGAGATCTAATCGACGAAGATTACATTCTAATGAACGATGCTGAATATGATCAATATCTTGATTCATAGTTACTAATGTATCACAATCACGTGGTTCACTTATAAAATCGAAACTTGAATGATGATATGTTGCTATTGCTGATGGTGATGGTAATGTTGTATTAATACTTGATGTATATTCAAGTCTATTGGGAGTTCGAGATATTGTTGGAGATATAGATTCTGCCATTCTTTCTTTAGAAAAAAAAAAGAAAGAGACTAATAAAAACAACAAAAAAAAATATGTTTAGAATACGAACATTTATGCAAGAATAAAGGAAAAAAGAAACACATTGACTAGGGAAAAAAGAACCGATGATGTTTCTACAAAGTAATAGTCTACTCGTCAACAATGTGAACATCTTTATCCTATGTGACAGCTATTTCTTTTTTCCTCTCTCGGTCTTTTCCTCTATTACAGCATGATGTCTACCCACGTCCATGCCGACGATCGATGAGGATAATAATAATAATAATGATGATGATGATGATGATATGAGAGACTGCCACATCTGTTTTTGCCAAGAAAAAGACAACAATGAAATTGTTCTTATTGTCTCAATCCTATTTCCACTCCAACTGTGCATGTCATATGTGTATTAGGCGCGGCGAACAAAAACAGAATGAGAACAATATGCAATGAATTTTCTAGCTATTAGTTTTTCCTTCTTTTCTCTTTTTTATATAACACATGCATTTATTCATTCAATCAGATTTTGGTTTGATGATTGTGTAGGAAGAATGAAATATTGTTTTTTTATTGCTAATCACTCTAAGTGATCTTTATATTATTTAGTCTTATAAAAGTGTCTTACCTGTATACAAAATATCTTAATTTAATCGTTTAGACATCAATATTGAAACTGATTACACCAATATATTCATATAAATAAGAACCAATGCAAAGTAGAAGTTTGTTTTTATTTTTATTTTTTATTTTTTTGACAGACAGAGCTAAACACACATGCACTACGGGAAAAAGAAAAAAGCTATGTTATCAGACGGAACCGGCGAATTTTTTCTTTTTTTTTCTTCTCTTCTCCTTTCCACTTTTTTCTCCTATAACGTTGTCGAGTATGACTTAGCATACGTGCTTGTGTAAGTGTGAGTGCCTGCGTGTGTGTGTGTGTGTGTCTATATACGCTAGAAAATAAGAAAGATGGAAGGTGTATGTATGAGCGTATAGAAGGTCGAAACGACAAAAAAATTCACGTCAAAACTCGTGCTGTTTTCTTTTTTTCTTACGTACGAGTATCTTTCTATTTCAATGACTTATATCTTAAAGATTAGAGTACGAAAATTTTGTCACCTGTTCTAATCGCCAACGCAAAACTAACAACTTTGTACTTGAAATATTATTAAATATTCGTCATTATTTACATATGATATGTAAACAAAAGTAAAAAATTTGCATAATCATACACGCAACTATATGCATTTGAAATAATCTTTTATCTCGTGTTGAAAAATTGTTGACGATAGATATGTTAACAGATAAGAAAATTCAATCATGCTAAAAGAAAATCAAGTTAATTAATTGTATATTGATAAATTAAATTTATTTGTTATTACAAGAAAAACGAAATAACAAACAAAATCTAAGTCTATAAACCATTCGATTTAATAATTATCATATGATTTTGTTGTTTTTTTTTTCTTAGTTCAATTTATAAAAAAAAAAAAAAAAATTTTTTATTAATCTAACAGTTTTTCATTAAATATAATCTATTCAACTGCATCAAGTATTTCTGAAGTTTTTCATTTTCTTTTCGATATGCATCATAAACTTGTTTAATGTTAATACTATCAATGAACATATTTCATCTTTTAACTATAATCTATATAAAGGCAAATTCAAGGTTGAAAATTTACTAAAAAAAAAAGAGATGTAGTTTATTTTTTCATAAAATAATGAATGATTGAATACATCTAAAATTTTTGTCATGTGTATGATATGAATAATTGAGAAATATGTTTTCTTTTTGATAAGTTTTATATGTTGAATGATGATTTTTATATCTTGGAAAATATGATTTTTTTTTTCTATCAACACTTTCATGTTGTAAATGTTTGTAGTACAATAGTTTATATCAATTATTATCTAATTGAATTCATATTTTCTAAGATATGGTACATTTATCAATTTCGAAATCAAATTAAGCAATATATTTTTCATCTAGAAATTGAATCAATGACTATCATTTTCTTCTAGTTCTGATTGTAATATCAATATAAATAATTATTAAAGTATTATAAAAGTATTAATTTTTATTTTTTTTTTTTTTTTATATAAAAAAAATTCTTTTTTCTTTTCTTATTTTTTTTATATATCTACACAAAAGAAGAAAGGTTTTTTTTTTTCTTCAAATAAATAGTATGTTGTAAAACCATGCAAATATAGTATTTTGTAGATTAATCCTATAGATAAATTACCTAGAAAAGAACTTTTCTTACTTGATAACTTTTACATTATTCGATAGAAAAGTTCTAGCTTTTCTATCAAGCTTTTATCATTGAAGAAAGATGATATAGAGAAAAATTTGTGTCCTGTCACATTGTGTTTAAAAATAATTAGTTGTTCGAAAAAATGAAAAGAAAAAAAGGAAATGAGAACAGAAAACTCATTTAAGATCACAGATTACTCACGTCTGATAAGATCATAATAAAAACAAAAAAAGAACATGAAGTTTTTATTCAAAGAACTCTTTCATTTTGTTTCCATAACCTATTTATCAAAAAAAAAGAAGAAGCTAGATGATAATGTAGAGCACTTAAATTATTAGTTAAGTGTAGAAGACATGACTTACAAAATGGAATTAGTTTTTTAATTAAGTTAAAACATGTTTACAATCAACAAAAATAACTATCATTCATTTGTAGCAGAACTGAAAGAAAAGTTTTATTCAACTATAATATCAGAATAAGTACTTGACTGACAAACATGAATCTTTTGTTTTGAAGAAATACAATAAACGTGTCGAATAAAAAAAAAAAACTTTAATGAACTTTATTCAAGAAATAGTTGAATTCTAGCTTGTCAATTTTTTCAGAGGAAAAGGAAGATTAGAAAAGAATTTTGAAATGACAACAGATGTCATTTTTACATTCATCATTATTTTAGATTATTTAGTATTCATTTTAATATTATTATCATGTATCGTATTTCATTATCTTTATAGTATTTGATGAAAATATTCATTTTATCTCATGAAGGTCAATCATTATTAATTCATTGGCAGATGAAGTTAACCAATTGTGTAAAAACATGATTGGCTGTCTGTCTGGTATATATTCATATCATATTTGTCTATGATCCATTGATCCTTACATGTCTCAATAAAAACAAACGATCTATTTAATGAATTATTATTCATTTTTGATTTTTCTAGTTCATAATTTGATTGAAATTCACAAAAGAAAAATATGCCTCGAATAATATCAATGAAAGCAGAATATTTAATATTAGTTAGTTTTTCAATGACAATTGCTGTTGTAACAAATGCTTTCTATACTAAAAAACAATTCTATCCATCTGTTGTTCATTTAACAAAATCAAGTACAAGTCTTGCTGTAAATAATATTGAAATAAAAAAAAAGAATACATGATTTGAATTCATTTGATCGATCTTTTGTTTTTTTGTAGGTTCTTTATCTTCAAGCCTTTGTACTTACTGTTTTATTTGGTAAACTTGTACAAAAAATATTTCTTGGACCACTTCGAGCAATTGAAACTGAAGTTTGTTTAATGATAAGACAAAACAAAAAACTTGAAATTTATAATGTTTTATTTTTTTAGCATCTTTATGATCGTACATGGTTTTCAGTAACTGAAACTTGTCTAGCATTCACAGTTTTTCGAGATGATTTTAGTTCACGTTTCGTTGCTTTATTTGCAATTTTACTTTTTCTTAAATGTTTTCATTGGTTATTAGAAGATCGAGTTGATTATGTAAGTGATGAATATAGTTTTTTTTTGTTTTTGGTTAAATGAATATTCTGATTTCTAGATGGAACAAAGTCCTGTTCTTGGTCCAATATTTCATGCACGCATTATTAGTAAGGTTTCATTGATATACAGAGTATTTCATTAGTCCACTAAAAAACTAAACTTCTATACCTTTGCTATTTATCAAACTTAATTAACTATTTTCTTTTCAAATGACAGATATCACTGTGAAGTTTTTATTTATACGAATAAATTTCACAAATATACTTCAACTTTATCATTTTCAATTTTAATAAACAAACATTTTACAGCTTTTTCTTGTCACGTTTCTATCGATCAGATCTTACACTATCATTTATATGTATTTGTTTTGATATGTTACTGTTACAGAAAAGCCTTTATGCAATTAAGTCTGATGGTCACAAAGCTCATTAGATCAATTCATTAGTTGTCGTTCAAAAAGTTAAAGCATTCTCATGGGCTTTATAATCATTGGAATTGATGCAATTAGGCAGTGGGGAATCTAGGAATTTCAGAAGTAAAGAGTAAATGAGACAAAAATGTTAACTTTTCACGAAAAAGAACTAGAAAAAAAAACGTCAAATTAGGTCTACATGCGGGAGCAACTGCATCCAACCTGAATTCGTCACTACCGTTAGGCTACTTTTCTCAATGATATATTAAAACAAATGCATATACACGATAGCGCAAGATGTGGCTGACGGAAATATCATAAAAAAAAAACATTGGATATATATTTTTTTTTTTTGAAATAGTAAAAAGATTGATTCTTATAGTTCAGTCGAAAGTGATAACTTTGAACCATATTTGTCATGTTTGTTCTTATAAATAAAAACTTCATAGTGATACATATCATCAGAAAAGAAAATTTTAATAAACAGTGAAATTATACGAATTTACTTTTGCGGTGGGCTTTTGAAACACTCTGTAGTATCGAGTTCTTTGAAATAGTAATATTAATTAAGATTATATTTTTACAGTTGTTCAAAAAGCATAAAACAAAGATCTTGTGAAAATGAAAGTTCTTGATTATACAAAATCGCAATATTCTAAATGTTTACAGTCTTTTCAATATAAAGTTTGACTCATCAATGAATATATATATATAAAAGCTATCAATATTTGTTTACAATCCATTAGTGAAATTAAATTCTGAATAAACCCCACATATAATATAAAAAATTTTTAAACTTAAATCAACCAAATTATGGCTATCCTAAATTCATTCAAGTGTTTCGATGATTAAACTAACGTATAGCATTTATTAAAATGTTTGTCAACGATCTGTTTCTACAAGTCTATTGCTTGCAAAATATACATTATTACTTGGAGAGTATGAGACTATAGTGAATATCATTAAGATTTTTATTTTGATTAATTCCTAACTTATCGATTTATTATATTAAAATTTATATTTTCAAAATAAGATCAATAGAGATGCGTAAGGTTACACTTTTCTTCCCTTTCCTATCCTACTATAGCCTGCATGCCTCTTAATAACTATAATTAGGAAGTATTTTCATAAATCTAACCAATAATTTATTTGCTTTTATTCATTTCATAGGTCTTTCGAGTGCTTTAATTATTCTTGATTATTTATTCATTATATCGGCTTGTACACATACAATAGCAAAAGGTGCATCTGTGCAAATTGTGTTTGGTTTTGAAGTAAGGAAAAGTTTTTTTTTTTTTTTTGTTTTTGTTTTAATGAAAAGAATTGTTTGTTATTTCGTTATGTTAGTATGCTATTCTTCTTGTATCTGTTGTTTTAACGGCAATTAAATATATTCTGCATACAATAGAAATCCGTACCGGTGAACAATGGGAAAATAAAGGCGTATTTATGCTTTATTCTGATCTTATTCTTGGCTTTATTCGTGTTTGTCTCTACATATTATTTATGATTGTTATGATGAAAATTCATACATTTCCATTATTTTCTATTCGACCCATGTTTATTGCAATGAGGTACTTATCAATTTTTCTTTCTCATTTTCTATCGTTTTTCTTCCTGTTTTTTTATTCAAGAGCATTTCGTAAATCTTGCAATGATGTTATTGAATCACGACGAGCTATTCATGATTTAAATACAATGTATCCTGATTTAACAGCAGATGAACTTGCTAATGTTGCTGATCCAACATGTATTATATGTCGAGAAGACATGCAAGTACAACAAAGTATCAAACGTCTTGGTTGTCAACATATATTTCATAAAAATTGTTTACGTTCATGGTTTCAACGACAACAAGCTTGTAAGTTAATATTGAAAGAATTCTTTTTGTTCAATAAATAATTCAATATTAGGTCCTATTTGTCGAAAACCTGTCTTACGATCTAGAGCAACACCAACTCCTAATGTACCGGCCGCAGCACCACAACAACCAGCTCAAGTACCTAATGTTGGAGGTATAATTAAATAGAAAAAAAGAACAATCTATAATTAATAGTTTCATTGTTTTTTTTTGTTTCTAGTTCAAATACCTCCCGCTGGTGCCGTCCCACCATATTCATCCTCTACGGCTCCACCACCTTCAACTTCTACTTCATCAACAACTATACCACCTGTCTTTAACTTCACACCATTGAATGCGACAACTACTGAAACATCATTACCATCAATAAATACTCCACAAATGCCATTTGGTTCATTTCCCATGGCATTACCACCATTCGGTACGTTTCTTTAATAATAAAAACGAGCGATTAAAAATATATACTATTTCTATTAATTAAGCTTTTCCTCCACCACCTTTACCTCCTCTTAATTTTATTGGAATGTCCGAAGAAACCATTCGAGCTATGGAAGGAATTGAGTTAGCACATGTTCAAGCACGTATACAATGTTTACGTAATGTTAGAACTTTATTAGATGCATCAATGACACAAATGCAACAATATATGAATATTGTATCAACGCAAAGGTTTGTTATTTTTCCTTTTTTTTATCAATTTTATATTTTTTTATTTATTTATTAGTAATATGGATAATGGTACATGTTTATTAAAAAATCTTAATAATGATGTTAATCAAGTAATAACATCTTCACAAAATCAACAAATTGATGAAAATGATACCGATCTTATTCGTCGTCGTCGTTTAGAGCACTTAGCAAGTAAAATAACAACTTCATCATCAACAGACACACAAGATGATAAAAGCAATACTGATGCTTAATAGATTTTTTTTTTCTTTCCACTTAATCAGTTATTAACGATTATAATTGCTCTTTTTCTTTTTCTGCATTAACATACATTCGAAACAGTGCTCTGTCTCTTCTTTTTTTTCTTCTTTTTTATCATTTAGAGTACTCTTTGATTGTATATATGCATATAAATGCAGGTGAGGTTGTCCTTAAATTATTTTCTTTTTTTTGCGCATGCCTTACTTGTTTTCATATTGCTCCTAGTCAAACAAATTGACATTTCTTTTTCTTTTTATGTTCTTCAGTTCGGTTATCATAACTTATCTGTTATATATTTCAAAAACAAGAAAAAGTTTATCTCATTTTGAAGAAAATAAACGAGGTTTTTTGGTTGTGATAAATATTGATTTGAAAAAAAAAAAGAAAGAAAATGCAATAAAAGCAATGAAATTTTGATACGTTGAATATTTTTATTGTGATAGATCGCGTTAGACAAAAAGATAAAATTTTAGAGAGAAAAAATTCAGATATTAAATTAAATTGGCAATTGATTTCAATTGAGTGTGGTTTAAATAGAATGAAAACAAAATGTCTAGAAAGACAGTATTATTTTTTATCTGTTTTTAATTATCTATAACAGCGAGAACCATCTAGATAAAAGATTTAAGTAGAAAGTTCTCTGGATAATCAAGGCTCTGAAAACTGGTTTTCTGACCATAATTAAAAACATTTTGCAAACAAGTTCACCTGATAGAGAATATATATATATTGCTGTTCCAAGCTCCCAACAACCTATCTTCAACTACTCTTACTCGTTCTACGAAAGGGTCTAAAGTGTAAACCAGTAAATTCATGAAAACTGCCTATCACATAATGATTATCGTTCAGTCAAGATAGGCCGTGGCGGACTCACGTACATGACAATTTTTTCTATATCAGATAAACTTGTTTGCAAAACATATTTGATGCACTCTAAAAAAACTGGTTTGCGGAGTTCTGGCTTTACAGAGACCTATTCATTCAAACTTGTTTATGGTAGTTCGACAATTACTTACCCTGATGGAGAATTGTTTCAATTAATCAAATCTTTTCTTTGATTTGTTTTAGTTGGTACCGTTAAGAAGGAAAATCAGAAATAATTTTTCGCTTCCACCTTAATTCTATTGTGAGTATATTATAACTGATAAATTGTTGTTTACAAAAAAAAACGCAAGAAAGAAAAATTCTTTTAGAATTATTCAGAAAGATGCTGCAAATGCTTAAATAGATTTTTATTTCATTTTTTAGTAACACCACACTATCTCAAGTATTTATTATATGACGCAAAACTTACAAATTTGACATATTTTTCATTTAAGATTACTAGTCTGTGTAGATGGAAATAAGATAAATGGGCAATCAGATGAAATTGGTATTCACGAAATATTTTACAGATGGGAAGAATCTAACATGAAAAACTGAACAAATAATGTATAGTTTTCTAAAATCGAATTGAGAAAAATTATAGTCATGATTAAGTTCTTATGATTTTCTCTGAAGTAAATCGAAAAAAAAAGATTTCATTCACTATTCAGCGTAAAACTTCAATAAGATGGATATATATAATTAGTTATCAAAAAGAGGTATTGATTTTTCTTCTGGTTGATTTTTGTAAGGACTCATGAAAACAATACATACTACTATTTGATATATATTGTAGAAAACCGAGAAAAATAAAATACAATATTTTTTGTACTTCAAATCGGTATTTGAAAAAAAAAATCTATCCCAATTATGATACGACTAAATTTATAATAAGTATCTAACTAAAAATTCTAACAAACATAATCATGAGTAGTGTGAGGAGTAATATCTTGCTACTTAAGGAAAGTTTTTTCTTCTTCTGATTTGATACATATGTTTATACAATAGAAGATGATTGACAAGCAGAGAAAAACATCTTCATCTGAATTATCAATCGCCTAAAAACATGCCATGATCAATGATCGATCTAGTTGATAACCAGTTTATCAACAATAACAATTATCGTCTATTTATATTTGCTACATACATGATCATTTTAATCAAGAATAGAGATGTAAGTCGATTAGTTGATCCATCGTCACCGATGCCGAATTTAAAAAATAGATACGAGTTTTTGAAAATGTTCGACATCCAGAATTGGTTTTCAGAGATGTTCTTTCTTTTTCATTTCAAAATTTCATAGAACTAAGAAAATTTTTAAAGAAGTATCTAAAAATTTCAGCCGCCACCAATAGAGAAAAACAGGTGGTGATATAATAGATGAGCTTCAAGTTTTATTTTAATATATTCAAATTCATATCAAAAATTGCACAGAACTCTTACCTCTTTAAAATAGAAGTCTCTCTTGTTATCAAATGAAAAGAAGACACTAGATTTTCTAATTGCCCTTCCAAAAGTTTATATTTCACACGTTTCATTGATTTCACAAAGTTCACCTTATAATTGTTCGACCATTATCAAATCTTGGACAGATTCATCAATTTATGAATATTCTCACCAGAGACAGATAAGCTATTGTAGCCAGGAAAATAGATAAGAAACTAACAGTAATTTAATAGCTCGATACTACCATTCAGAAGAATGTGAGTGTGAATCAAGAGAAAAGAAATGTTCAAAACTAAAGAAAGGGATTAAATATGAACTTCTTGATGAAAATTTACGACTACTATGTAGCTTCGTTTTTTCATGTGATAACAATAGACTTGTACTTCAAACGAGTAAGAGTTCTGTTCAATTTTTAATGGGAATGTCAATTTATTCAATTAAAGTTATTTTCTTGCATTTTTTAATCTGTTGTTTATGTCAGGCTCAAGCGTCGAGAGCTCTAATACCGAGAGGCTCATTTGTCAACGTACCGACAAAAGGTTACAATGACTTCAGCCGTCACCGATTAATCCAGAGGCTTACATCTATAATCAAGAATAGGCTGAAGACATTATTACGATGAAATGTTTCTCTTACATTTTTTTTTCACTAAATTATGTATTTTTTGAAAGAAAAGCGTCATTGTTCGACTGGATGATTTGATTGATCAAATCAAATCAGTTCAAAAAATTTTGAGTAAAGTTTTAATAATCATTCTCTATCAATATTAATAAAGTTAACAACAATCGAGATCAATTAACAACTGAAATCAATGATTATTTTGTTTATTTATAATTATTAATCAATGTTCTTCTTGGAATCGAATCTAATCAAACAGATAAACAACAATTTTAGTTTTTACTATTGTTTTTGGATTATATATCCTTTTATTTCTATGGGGCCGTTAAAAATGTTTTAAAATATGAACAGTAGTCTGTTCAAATAGTGATCAAAATCCACAAGTATTTTTAAATCTCCTATCGTTACATATTCATGTAAACTCAAAATAATATATTCAATACCCACATATCAAAGATCTTTTCCAAGTTAATCTTTTAAATTCAGTTCATATATAAATTAATTTTTTCTTACGGTAAAATATTTAATTAGAAAAATAAAACAACTAAAATGTCGCATCAATCATTATGCATGTTTACAGTCACTCAGTGCATGAAATCATATAGTTGCAAGTAATGTAATGTCCTATAATTAAATTTATCACGAAAGTGAATTATTACAATTCTCTGAAGATTTCATGTCAAAATAATAAATACAAATAATCTCATCGCTAGAAAGAGAATTTATTTTAAACACACACATTTATATGCAATTTAAACAAACGAAAAGAAAAAAAAAACGATATACATTTAGAAAGCGAACGTTTTATTTTGTCTTCCGGCTTTTCCTTTCACTCTCGGCTGCCAATTAATCAATTGTGGATTAATAACAAGAAATTTTTTTGCATGCAATTCTTGAAGACGAGCTTCAACACCTTTCCTTGATGCACATACAAAATGACCTTGTCTCCAATATTTAATGAAACCATAAGAACTCAATGTTTCCATACAATTCTCTGTACTAATACTTGTTATGGCACTAAAATAAAAAATAAAATTTTAAAGAAATAAAAACTTTCTTTTAGATACTTTACCTTAATTCATCTACTTCAATTTCTGGCTTTTCTTTCAGTACATTTAATAGTGCCCATGTCCAATAACTTAAATAGGCTTTATGTCCTAAATCACTGACAGGTTTTTCTGGTCCACCAACTGCATTTTCTAATTTGGATAATTCATAACCTATAAAAATTCAATTTTTATAGGTTATGAATCGATAATAAATAAAATATTTAAAACATTATGGCAGTATTAACTTCAGACTATTCATGTATCCAAAATTTTCGGATTTATTAAAAATACATCTTGATTGATTTACCCGTAATCAAGAAAATATTGATGTGAACAAGTACAATGCAAATAGTCGTATACTTTGTCAAACGAAAGTCTTGGTACAAAAATACTCAGTCATTGTTCGACTACTTAAAGACAATCAGTTACAGGTAGAAGCAGTTCGTTAGAAACTGGCTTTTTCGCTCTTGGCAATTATGTCTTCAAAATTTCCTTCTAGGGTTTACATTCGGCAACTACCATCAGATTGTTTCAAAATAGTGATTGTGCAGAATACTATTTTTTACTCAATTTTATATTTTAATTGAAATCAATCGAAGTCGAAATGTAAAATAGTTTTACAGAGCAAATTTTTCTCTACAAAGTATGATTGTTTACTTTTTCATACTGGGTTTTAAAACTTTTGTGTTTTGAAAGCAATTTTCACAATAATAATTTCTATGTAGACTATCTCTTTAATGAAAACACATAATTTTCACTTATAGGGAATATCGCATGCTATACAGAATTAAGTGCTCTAAAAAAACCAATTAAGACTTTTTCACAAAATTTACTGATATTTGTTCAATCTTACTCCGAGAAGGATATGTAAACATATGTTTGGGAATAGGAAAAAATTCTGATTCTATCCAGTTGCTTCTGACTCTTATCAGTTGTTATTTAATGGTCGAAAACTGAGCGATTATTGTTTGCCAAGACTCCGATGCTATCGATTATGTACGATTTAGAAGCTGCTA